GGCCTGAAAATCGACTGTGCTAGGGCAAAAGTCAAATGTGGCCCACATACAGTCAAACTTCAAGATTTTTGGTCAACATCCTCATTTTGAAGTATATTTAATCATTTGATCAAGGGTTGATCATGATTCATCAAGGATTGCTCATAATTCCTCAAGAATCAAAAGTTGCTAAATTAGGGTTTTGTAGGAAAAGTCAACTCAACTTTGACCAAGTATAACTTTCTCATACTTTATGAGAAATGACCCATACAAAGCTCATTTTGAAGAGGATGCAATTCCCTACAATCCATATTCATCTCCCAAGTTCAAAATATGTACTCACAAGAAGTTATGAATTTGGACATTATAGGTCATTTTGAAAAGTCAACAAAAACACCCTTTTTGTAAAAGCTTCATACTTGAGCATGGAATATCAAATTGAGATGAGACAAAAAGGGTTGATTATAGGACATCTCAAGCTTTCTAAAAAGTCCAAGAACACCTCCAAAGAGTCAAAATTGAGGAAGTTATGCATTGGTGAAGTTGACCTTTTTCGCAAAATTGTCAAAAGTCAACTATGCCTAAAACTTCAAATTTTGCCAAATAGGCCCAATCTTTTTCACTTATTTTGAGTTGGAAAAATAGCCCACGAGCTCTAGCCCTTGCCACTTGTCCTTATCATGTTTTAATTATTTATTTTGATTTTTATTTGAATTAATTCAATTTAAATCAAAACAAATCATATAAAATCAAAAATATTGAAAATACAAGATTTTGTGCTTGTTTCAAACTTTATTATACAGCTAGCAAATATTCAAATTCGTATCAATGCATGGTGTGAACAAAAAGATTGAAATAAGCAAATTTTGGAAAGTTTTCAAAGTGAATCAAATCAAAGATCCAAATCATTGATGGAGGAAGATTGGGAGCAGTTATCAACCCTAATCCCTTCATTGATACATATAGAGGGCGTGCAAACTCAAAAAGAAGGTTAGAAACAGGCGCAGCAAGGAGAGCAAATTCTGAAGAAAAAAAATCAAGAAAAGTGCAAGATCAAATTCATGGTTCCAGGCATCCTTAGGTCTTTCCAGCTATCTCAATCGTTTCCTGGGAGACTCAGCAAGCCAAAGCAATCAAGACCAAGCATTTTCAAGCCCCATATTGCACTGTAGTCAGTCACAATACCTCTCTTTTCTTGAAATCGAATCTCATGATTTATGCATTGTTAGGTTGAATTAATCACATATTCTTGATTTATGAGACATATGCAAACTTTCTGTATGGCTTAATCGCATTTATTTGGTTTGTACTGGAATATGCCATTGTTAGGGTTCATAGCTTCGAATTAGGGATTTTGCTTGCAGGTGAAATTAGCCTTGATGAAAGGTACCATCATGTTCAGAATGATGAGACGGATCCAACCATGTCATTAGAGGTTATTTATATGGCACGTAGAGGATTTTGAAACCAGCCAGGTTTATAGCAACAAACAAAATGTCCGTAGGTAAAAGTCTGTGACTCTTACCCACGGAGAGGGGAAGAAGATGACCTATGTGTCATCATTCCATTGGCCCATTCAAACTTTATGCGCACATTTTTTTTGTCCTTCACTAATGCTTATTTTTGTATATTATTATTATTATGTATTTTATGAACAACAAAAGCAAAGTGGTGCAGTGGTGAGTGCAGCGCTGGAAATTGCCTTGGGGCCTGGGTTCGAATCCCAGGTCCCCCAACTTCTTCATATTATTTTTCTTTACAGGATCCAGTATGTTCACAAGCCAGGAGACCACCACACATCCTTCCAATCTAGCCAGCCAAGTGTCAGATGGCCAAATCTGATGGCCGTCCTCTGAAGGTGCACGAAAGTCAAGTCAAACGCGTAGCATGGGATCCTCAAAGTCAACGTGGACCTCCACTAATGGGCCCAAATCTGACTATTCGCACCCCCATTTTTTCAGGCCCAATTCTTTTTCTCTATTCATTTATATTTATTTTATTTAACTTATTTAATTTATTTACTAACCAAAAATTAATTTTCTTTTTATCAAAAAATCACCAAAAATATTATTTTTCATCCAATTAAATTTAGGATATTTTTTTAGTAAAAAATTAATTTATTTAATTAGGTTATTAATTTTAGACAACTTTAATTATTTTGTACATAATTAAAAATGATTAGAATAATTAGGTTTTTAATCCACATTTAATTTTTCTTTCTTTTCTTAAAAATAATCAAAAACACAAAATAGGTCATGTAATTATCTTTTTTAATTAATTTAATTAACTAATTAATTTTTATATTTAATTTAGAAAAACTTAATTCCTTTCTTTAAAATTTTCCTTTTAATTAGGTTAGAAGGGTCAAAACCCTGATTTCTCGTCAATCTAATTTGTCATCGCGCGCTTTATTCTATTTTTTACCCAATTATTGTATTTGCTCACAGTTTGTAATAGTTTTAATTAGGACCTTTACATTTATCGCTTTAATTTTCAAAGGGTTTGTTTTTGGCTATGTAAATACCCGAAGCCTTGTAATAGCGTAGTTTAAATTCCACAAATTATTAACTGTTAGATGTATGAATAATTAGGGTTTGCATGACAAGAATGTATGCTAAAATTGAAAACAGTTAGATCACCCTAAATGTGCAAAGATAAAATAATCTGAAATTGAATCACTCGCACATGCGCACTCCTAGGGTACACTCTCACTTGGTTGCCTTCGGTAAACGGTCATTGAGTATAGGATACTTTAGTGATCGTCCTTTTGTCTAAACAAAGATCAAAGTCCCGATTCGGAAAAGTTGCCTCGGAATGGTTGCCTCAGAATTGTTGCCTCGAATAATTGATCTAAGACATTAGGGTTATTACTAAGACGTCCTAACATTGCTTTAGTGACCGTATGTCCCTTTCGAATTGACCCTTCAAACTCCAACGACGATGCTACCTACTCATTAATAGTGGGATAACGTTGTCTAAAGGAAACAAGCATAGAATGATTCTTTTTTCGAGTAGGTAGATTAGTTCTTGGATACTTGCTCATCCCAAATAAATTTCTCACACTTACACTCCTTTACAAACAAAGTTTTCAAAAACACTTCATTACACTCTTGAAGACAGAAGCAAGAGCTAAATCGAAGTCAAAACAAAAACTTTTCAAAGCCCACAAACACAAAGAAAACAATTTTGAAAATGATGAGCAAGTACCTAAGAGCCCGTAGATAACTACAGATAGAAAGGGTGCTAATATCTTCCCTTTCTATAATCTACCCCCCGTACCTAGAAATATCTCGAAAAATGAATTTTTCTGTGTTTTTTTCCTTTCCTTGTTGGATAAAATAAAAGTCAGTGGCGACTCTTGCTTACCGCGACATTTTGCGAACACAAACGCAAAATGCAAACCAGCAAATTTCCTAACAAAATAGGGAAACCACGATCCCGGTTCTGGCCACCGTATCACACTTGTCTATAGAACCAGAAAGTATCTTCCCTGGATCTCACCCAAATAAAGAGCAGGATGCCTGCTCTGATACCAATTAAAATTCTGGTATCAGATATGTGATGTCGAATTAGATGTCACGACACAAATATTTATTTGCAAGTAAGGTGCAGTAAAATCAAAAGTAGTAAAAACACAAGAGATTGTTCACCTAGTTCAGTGTACAATAACACCTACTCTAGGGGCTACCAAGTCAGGGAAAAGTTCACTAAATAGTATCAATTCATAGACCCTCAGTAAACAACCAGTTTACGATCTAATCATTTAATCACTACCCAAGCTAAACTTCTACCTAATACTCACCTAGATATGAGGCTATCCTCAAATCCCTTCAATCACTTACAGTGAAGAACTTAACAGAATTAATAAGTTTGAAACACTTCAATCATTCAATGCTTAAAAGCTTATGAATGATACACAATTAACAACTCAAGTATTTAAACTAATACTTAGAGTGTATTACAAATAAAAAGCCTAGACTTCTAATTAGAAAGAAGATATTCTTCTTTAAAAGTTGTTTGTCTTTGAATAAGGAAGCAAGTCCTTATATATGCACAGCTGTGGGCTTGGGCTTAAAATCAAATATTCAAATCTTTTGAATATTTCCATAAAAACAGGCCAAGATAAAATTATGCAATTTGAAAAATATTCCTCCATATTTTTCGCAGCCTGTAGGTCACAAATCCTGAATTATGCCACGCATAAAAATAGGAAACAAAAGACTTAACTGATGTTGGATTGAGATCAGTTCAGTAGGCAGATGTCAAGAAATCTGCTTTGACATCATTCAAAACAGTTTTGCTCCAAATGGTAAGACATTTAGCAAAACATTAACAAGTCATTGTTTTACCAAAATTGCTGCCAACAAACACTTACAATAAGTATTTTAACAGGGTCAGAACCAAGTTAATTTCGAACTTATGGTCCCACACACTTAAACAAATGTTAGTATATCCAATTATTCTTTAAGCACTTTGATATCATCAAAATCCAAAGAGTATGAACATATATTGTTCCAACATTATTAATCATGTTCTAACACTAAATTATAAATGTATTAACTAATCTTTGCACTCAATTAACCAACTTTATAAGTTTTTTTTTTAATGTTTGAAAATTCTTTAACCAAATTATGAATTAGATTAATCAACTTTATATGGATCCGTTTGTTTTGACTTTTTCTTAAATTATTTTTATAGTGTTACATAATTTTATATAAAAAAATTTACAAATTTTTTTTTTATAAAAATTTAGTTTGAATAATTATTTTTAAAAAATAAAAATTAATTATAGACCATAGATATTGAGAAAACTTGGACAGATAAATGCATAACTAAGAAAAACAACTCACAAAATAACTTCCGCATAGTCAAACAAATTTTAAATTAGATGACATAATCATTTATTTGCCACAATGCAACATCAACATCAAAGTCTCATTTATTTATATATCAATATTAATATCATTAATAACTACATGAAGACAATGACTTATTCTAATTAATTTGTTTTGACTTTTCACTCAAGCACTAGAGCAAAACCTTGGAGTAGCAGGAGCAGAATTACTGCTTTTACCTTCTGCTTTCACTTTAACCTTTTCACCACCATCCACCCATTTTTTCAACCTTTTAATCAACTTCCCCTTTTTAGAACAAGAAGCCTCACCATGAGAACTAGAACTAGAACCAATGCATGACACATTTTGATGATGATGATCCAAAAAGGAACAATGCAATTCATGTTTCATTAACTCTTTCCTTAAACAAACATTAATGTTCCTCAAGTAAATCAACTCTTCAACCTCAATTTCATGTTCCTTCTTAGCATGTTCCAATTCTTTAACAACCTTGTTGTAATCTCCCTTCATAACATCTCTTGATTCAACTTGCAAATAATATTTCAATGGCTTTTTATGTAACTCTTGTTTACCTTCTAACATTTCAAGCTTCTTCAATGCTTCATTCCTCTCATCTACCAATTTATCCAAAATCATTTTCATCTCTCTAATTTCATCTTCTAACTTATCAATCACACTAGCCCTTTTATCCAATTCATCATAGTTTCTCATGATTTCTTCTTCTCCCACCTTGATCATCAAAGTTTGCTCCTTTATCAAAACCGATTGCGCCTTCGATTTCTTAAGTAGCTTCTCAACCTTCTTATGAAGCACCCTATTCTCTGATTTCCAATACTCAACCTTTTCAATAATCTCAAGGTATTGGACTACAAAATTCTCCAATTTAATAGTTTCCGTCTCTATGAACGAAATCTCTCTATCGAAGAACTCGACACGAGACGTCTCCATTGACAACATGTTTTCGATTTCCATAAGCATAGATTCTTTCTCTTTCATTTCACAATATTTTTCAAACTGCAAAGTTAAAGCCAATTCTCTTATTTTCATACCTTCAATCTTGCTTCTTAAGCAAGCAACCTCTTGTTCTACACATGAATGGTTTTCATGAACCACCAAGCTACTAGAAAGAACATTACTATCTATAGAGCTATCATTTTCTTCTTCATCTTCATCTTCTATAGAAGAAAAATTGTCATCATCATGAGAATTGATTTCATTTTCAAGGGTATATGAGTTATTTTCAGAAAATGAAGAAACTTTAGATAACTTTTTCTTTGTTATGATCCATGCATAGATCAAACCAGCCAAAGAAACAGCTAAAGGAACACCAGCTTTGAGGATAATAGGCTTTATGTTTTCTGCTTTAAGTGTTGAGTTTTCCATCAAAAAGAAAATGAGAAATTTTCAGATATTTGGTAAAATTGAACAAGGTTTTTGTTAAAAGATTTATAAAAGGTTTGAAAATGTTGCATTGAACAAGTTTGTATGAAGGGTTTTCCTTTATTTGGAGGAACCAATTGATATGTGGCTTTTTGACTAAGCTATTATCCTCATGCTCTAAGGAATCTGATTCCTTTCGGAATTAATCAAAAGCACTAAGAAATTTATATTTCTCATGTTGGGCTTCTTTTCTTCAATGGGTATGTGTGATCATATTTGTCACACAAATTTATTCTTTCAAATAATCAAACATGATTATAATTTAAAGCAAAAGTAACCGACCATACATTTATTAGTAAAAAATACTCTAGTTAAAAAAATTATTTTATTTTAATAAATTTATTTTCTAAATTATCCTTAATAATATTAATTGCTAAAGAACAATATTTTTAAAAATATATTAAATTTTTAAGAAAATACTCTACTTTTTAGAGTTTTTCTAAAGAAAAATACTTATTAATAAGAAAATATAAAAGTAAGAAAGATAAAAATTAAATTTCAAACATTCATTATTGCCACTATTCCATAATTTTTATTAAAAAATAATTAAATTTAAAATATATTTAAAATTATTCTTTAAAATAATAATTTTTATTCAAATAATTTTTACTATATAACATTACTCTTTTCTAAATACCATATTTTAGTAGAAAAATTTTCAGTCTATTCTATATTAAAATTAATTTTTCAAATGTCCTACTCTTGAAAATTATTTTTTGCAATAATCAGGTATTGAAAAAAAATACACAAATAACCATGTTTCGGAGAAAATCACACAAATAATCATGTTTCAGAAAACTCCACAAAGGAGGACCCAACCCAGTTGGCGCATGCACCTAAAAGTAAAGGGGAGACGCCATCTCACTTGGCGCCTAGGTGTTAAAAGTTTGCCCAAAACCATGTGAGATGGTGCCTAAGTGCAATAGAGGTGCAATTTTTTTCATTTTTTATTTTAAATGCGGGACATTAGATAAACGATGTAGCTTCATGAAAATTTGACTTTTTATTTACAAAAAACGATTACATAATAAAAAAATACAAAATAATTAGTGGTCTCCCGGAACTCGGTAACGACCCGCGGTTTCGCATCCGCGTCCTCGCCTGTCTCGTGGTGGATTTTGTCGTGTTTCCTGTTGTGACAGGGTCGATGGCCCAGCGAAGTCAATGCGTTTCAGATTCATGAAATCAGTCAGATCTCCATATCTGGAAGATCCGCTTTGGTACAATCGGTTACCCATACCCTCAAAGTTTGGTCGTCTTGGTGATGGATGGGATTCCATGGTTGGTCTATAGCACTAGTCGTTTGAGTAAGGGGGGTAGAAAGGAAATGAATCTTGGGGTGTTTGGTATTGCGAATGTTGGGTGCTATAGTGATGTGGTAGTTTATGGTAAGTTGGGTCGGTTGGGTCATATTCTTCGGAAAATATCAGATCAGGGCTAAGGTTAGATGTTGAGGGGCCCACATTGGGATATGGAGAAGACTGGAATTATGTGTGGGGCATACGAGTGTATTGGTATTGTGATTGGGATTGTGGTTGGGTGTGGGGCATATGGGGGTATTGGTATTGAGGTGGTGATTTTGGTTGGGTGTGGGGAATATGGGTGTATTCGTATTGTAGTGGTGATTGTGGTTGGGTGGTTATGGATATGTATCATCAGGGTGGTTGTTAGGAGGTTGATGTGTGTTGGGTTTGTTGTTGGGGAAATGGAGGTTGTGCCCATTGTGTTCGTGGGTCAACCAAATACCTTAGATGAGACACGTGCATTTATGGGTTACTAACTGATATGTACCAAGCTAAACATTAATTTGTGTGTCGCATATTACCCTGGTTGAGGAAAGCAGGGAATTGCAAGACATGTTGGTGACACATATGCCACATCTTACACCATTCTAGAGCAAAATATTTCCAATTAGTAAGACCCCATTGGGCGTCGACCCTTTTGAGATGGCACGGAGACAAACAAGTTGGATCACAGGGTATCTCTTGATGCATTCCAAACTGCATCTTGACACGGTCGTTGTGGTGCATCTCCATAATGTTAAACCGTATGATTGTAGTCTTTGCGGTCCAAATTGCTGCATCCTCGGAGTTTGATTCATGGTCTAAACCTAAATATGGTCTCTAGATAATCTGTGGATAAAATTAAATCAGTATAATGAAAATGTAATAAATAAATAATTTAAAAGTAGAAAAGTTCAAAGGTACGACGTACGTCATCCGGGTCAAGGTGATCCAATAGATTGCGATATAGAGCGACATTGAATCTTGGATTCTTGCCGTAATCCATATCCGTCACACAGTACCTAAAGGAATTGTAAAATAGTTTATTTTTATCATATATTTGGCGAACGAATGAATAATAAATGATATAATTTCTTGACTTACTTTGTTGCGTATGGGAAAACGAATGTGTTGTTGTTGATGGGGTTTAGGGACTCCTTTCTCCACCAACCCCATGCTTGGAGTAAGAAAGCGCATCCATAAAATCTACATTTTTCTTTGATTGCGTTTTTGCACAAGGAACTGTATAGATGGGCTAAAATAGCAGAACCCCAACTATACTTTCTAGGACATGTAGGGAGGCGCCATTTGACTTGGAGAATGAGTACAAAATTGAAAGGTCTCACCATCTCAGTTGGCGAATTAAAGGGTGCATTGGTTGTAGTGTAGGTGCAGGCTAGGTGGCAGCCTTTGGGAAGGCACTTCTGTATGCATGGGTTGCAGTGTATGTGCAAGCTAGGTGGCAGCCTAGGTGGCTTACTGTTGTATTTTTCAAATTCAGTACAACTTATTTAATCCTATATTTATCAAAACACTTCTACACTCAATCACTCAAACACTCGAACATTCAGAAATTTAAACAATCAGGCACTCAAACACTCAGACACTCAAACACTTAAACATTCAAACACTCAAACCTTCAAACCTTTAAACATTCAAACACAATGGCCTATGCACCACAATATGTTATCAGTGCATATTTCAACAGTGAGACATACATTTGTCCCACCTCTGATTTTTTGTTTAGACACTGAGAACATCCGATTTTGTTTAAACAGAAAAGCCAATTTCTTGTATTTCAAAAAACAATTGGAGGTCAAACTTGGACGAGGTCCTGTGACACAAATCTTCTATCAAAATCCAGTTTTTTTGTGAGAACCAAATAATATATTATAAGGTTAAAGGTTCAAGATGATGAGGACCTTCAGAATATGTTTTCCAGTCATGAGTATTCTGGGTACGACTTTATATAGTAGTATATTGTGTTGAGGGAGCCTCAGTTGTCATGGCCAACTCAGTCGCAAGTGGTTGATCCTCTCGAGGCCGAACAAGCAGAAGTAGATGTCGTTAACGAAAAAGAGGAAGATGACGAGTTAAAGTTTGACGACATGGTTAACGATGAATCTAAAGACGATGGGATACCTGGCATACCTCCGAATGAGATCTACACACCACCTCCATACATGACAAACTTCAACATGGGCGGAGATGAACCGTCATCTGATGTTTTTTTCAATCTGTATATGCAGTCGGATAAAAACTTAAAAGAGAAAGACAAATTTCGTAATAGAGAAGATTGTATCTGAGCCATAAAAAAGTTTCACATGCTAAACTCGGTCGATTTTAAGGTAGATCGTGTAAATCCAAAAAGGTACAAGCTCAGGTGTGTCCACCCAGATTGTATGTTCAAGCTCACTGCATCATACAGATTAAGAGGTGATTGTTGGGTGATAGGTTCTATGTCCACCCACACGTGCATCAATTCTACTCAATCACAAGATCATCAGAAACTAAATTATGATCTCATATGTCAAGAAATCCTACCTCTCGTCAGCAATGATCCATCATTGAAGGTGAAAACCATAATCTCTCACATCACTATGGTATATAACTATACTCCGTCATACCGAAAGGCACGGTTAGCAAAGACCAAGGCAATTGAAAAGGTATATGGAAACTGGGAGGAGTCATACAAAGAACTTCCTCGCTACTTGCATGCACTTCAGACTTATTCTCTGGGTACTGTTTATATTATGGAAACACTGCCGGCATACGCCCCAGATGGTACTCATGTCACCGGAAATGGAATATTCAGTTGAGTGTTCTGGGATTTTCAACCTTGCATCACAGGGTTTGCGTCATGCAAACCTATTATTCAAATTGATGGGACTTGGTTGTATGGGAAATACAAAGGCACGCTACTGATGGCAGTTGCACAAGACGACAACAACAACATTTTCCCAATTGCCTTTGCTCTAGTCGAGGGAGGGACTGGTGGTGCTTGGAGTTTCTTTCTCAGGAATCTTCGAACACACATGGCTCCTCAACCAGATCTCCTTTTGATCTTCGATAGACATGCATCTATTGAGAGTGCATACAATAATCCTGCAAACAGTTGACATGACCTTCCTTCTACGCATGTCTACTGCATTAGACATATCGTACAAAATTTCACGAGGGAGATCAAAGACAAGGCTCTTAGGAAAGCAGTTATGGACGTGGGGTGTGCATTAACACAACCTACGTTCAAACTCTATCGCAACGAGATCAAATTATCAAATTCGGACGCAGGTAGGTGGATCGATAATATTTCGGTGGAGAACTGGACAAGGTCATACGGCAATGGACAACGATGAGGCCACATGACAACAGATCTTATCGAATCCATGAACGGTGTATTCAAAGGCATATGAAACCTCCCAGTAATTGCTTTGGTTAAATCAACATATTTTAGGATGGCTTCGTTGTTAGCCAAAAGAGGTGAAATATGGAATGTTGTCTTGCAATCGGGACAACTATGAAGTGAAAGCTACGTGAAGTATATTAAGGCAAAAAGTGCCAAAGCCAACACACATTTGGTTATAAGATTCAACCGGCACAACCACAACTTCACTGTCAAAGAGACAGTCGACCATAACAAAGGGCTGCCAAGACAAGAGT